AAATCGAAGAGGCACCTACTTTTCTAGCCTTGTCAGCACCTGTCACACGCACACTCAGCTTTGCAGAAATTATGGGCATTCTGTCGAAGACTTCTGGTGAAGTAGAAAGCACATGAATCTTACTGTTCAATCACCCACTTCCCACACGCAACAATAGCTCATGGGTACCACATATAACTTTGCCAAAGGTCTCTGCAAAAGTTGAGCACGTGAAGCTTGCAGCTCCCACTACATCGCTCTGACCAAGAAAGGTAAAAGAATAGCAAAGAAACAGCACTAACAAAGTTTAGACACATAAATTTTGAAGGTCTAGCTACCATATTATTACCCACAAGGGTAAAGGAACAGTACCACTGCTGGATAATTGGAAAGTCCCTGTGTGTCAACCTCTGTGCTTCGTGGCAAGGTAGACTAGCAAACATGCCCAACCTTTACTCACATTCGAGAAAACACTCCCAACAAGATTGCTTGCTCCAAAATCGAAAAGGCACCGTCCTCCGAATCTCGAGAGCCAGACTCCCAACATGACTACTTTCTCAAAATCGAAGAGAGGGTAAAGGAACAGTACCATTGCTGGATAATTGGAAAGTCCCTGTGTGTCAACCTTTATGCTTCGTGGCAAGGTAGACTAGCAAACATGTCCAACCTTTACTCACATTCGAGACAACACTCCCAACAAGATTGCTTGCTCCAAAATCGAAGAGGCACCGCCCTCCGAATCTCGAGAGCCAGACTCCCAACATGATTACCTCCTAAAAAATCGAAGAGACACTGCTCTCCGAATCTCGAGAGCCAGACCCCCAGCATGATTGCTTTCTCAAAAATCGAATAGGCATCGTTCTCCGAATCTCGAGAGCCAGATACCACATACCACTTTTTCAAAGTGCTCTGACAGAGTTAAAACATGTGAAACTGGCAGCTCCCACTACCGTGCTATGACCAAGCAGGGTAAAGGAATAGCATTACTACTTGTTAGGGAGACTCCTATATATGTCGACCTCCATCCCCAACGGACAGGCAGACCTACAAAAATGCTCAACCCTTCATCATATCTGAGAGGGCACTCCCAACGAAGCTTTTCGAAATATTCAGCTTTCTTTCCCCCCGATAATACCTCTGCAAACAAGCTATACTAGAGCAAGAATATCTCATATCATCAGGGTTAAAAGCAAGAGTATCCCATATCATGCTTTTTCCCTGTCTTTTCCTTTGGCCTTGTTTTTACCTGCAAGACAAGGAGAAAGAGAGCAATCAGTCAGCACTTGGAATCAAGCTTCCAGCCAGGAACTGACTGCCTGGAACCCCTTACCTGATTACTTACCTGGCATTGCTCTCGAGTACTCATCTTCAACATCTTATGTTTCCAGGGAAGATTCCGCATCTGCTTGAGGAACAGATAGGGCAAGTGCGAAGGATACAAGGAAGCATGTGGAGACAAGCGTAACAGCACACGTGCCGATACATCCATTACTCTGTCAAAAGCAAAAGTATCCCATATCAGTAGGGTGGAGCGTACTCTAGATTTGATGGACTTGTTTTGACCCTCAAATTCTTCAGTCGGCCTTATACTCTGGAGGAAACCAGAAAACCCTCCAGCTCAGTTCAAGAATAAGTCTGTGGAAAGTTACTTCTTCAAAAGCAAAAGTATCTCATATCATCTCTTCTCATTTTTCTTCTCTTTATCCTTCATGCTTCTGCAAGATGGGGAGAAGGTGAACAATCAGTCGGAGCTCTGATTGCTTACCTTGTCTGTCACCTCTTTCAGCAGACCCCCTAGCTCGGCGACTTGGGGGACTCCTACTACATGGTTTGTATCGCGCTTGACCAAGCCTGAAACTACAAGTAAGCTTCAAGTGAAATTGATACATTACCTTGTGCATCTCCACCAGTTAAAGATACCACCCCTGGATGGAGGAAAAGTACTTCCAGAGAAGATGCCACATCTACCTATGAGACAGATAAGGCAAGTCAAGACGACACCACACTCCGATACTTAGAAGTTTCGTGATTACGAGATCATTCTCCCACAATATTTTCTAATGTCATTTGTACTAAATCATTCACTTGTACTCACTAAATGAGAGCTTGAACCTATGTACTTGTGTAAACCCTTCACAATTAATGAGAACTCTTCTATTCCGTGGACGTAGCCAATCTGGGTGAACCACGTACATCTTGTGTTTGTTTTCCTATCTCTATCCATTTATATACTTATCCACACTAATGACCGGAGCAATCTAGCGAAGATCACAAAAAGCGACTGTTTTCGCTACCTAGGATCTATCTTGCAAGAGAACGGAGAATTAGATGGAGATCTCAACCATAGAATACGAGCTGGATGGATGAAGTGTAAGAATGCATCCGGCGTGTTGTGTGACCGTCGTAGGCCACTAAAGCTCAAGGGAAAATTTTATAGGACGACAATAAGGCCAGCGATGTTGTATGGCACAGAATGTTGGGCGGTGAAGCATCAACACGTACACAAAATGGGTGTAGCGGAGATGAGGATGCTTCGTGGGATGTGTGGGCACACGAGAAAGGATAAGATTGGGAATGAGGATATCCGAGGTAAAGTAGGAGTAGCCGAAATTGTAGGAAAGATGAGAGAAAATCGGCTCCGGTGATTTGGACATGTGCAAAGAAGGCCGAATGACGCTCCGGTTCGAAGATGTGACTACGGGACAGAGGTTCAGGGCCGAAGGGGTAAAGGAAGACCTAGGAAAACTTTGGAAGAGACTCTAAGAAAAGACTTAAAGTACTTGGATCTAACGGAGGACATGACACAAAACCGAGCGCAATGGCGTTCTAGGATTCATATAGCCGACCCCACTTAGTGGGAAAAGGCTTTGTTGTTGTTGTATATATACGGCTAAGCACGTACTTACATGTTAATGGTACAATAATTGCCCCCCCCTAAATTATATTGGACCATAGTCATTAGGACCTAGTTAAGAAAAACGTTCGTTCGTCATTAAAATTTTTGAAACTGTATATACTATATAAGGATAGGGAGCACAATCTCCCACCTATACAGTCCCGGTACTGCAAGAGGCAACATGAGGCAAAATCCTAAGTTTAGCACCTTTGAATGCGATTATCATTCAGTAATTAAGAACGATTAAGAATGACATGTTTTGGACTCATAACTTCTAATTAAGAACGAAATCCTGAGTTTAGCACCTTTGAATACAATTATCATTCATGTTTCCCTGTAAACACAATCTGATTGTTTCCTTCAATCCCTGCCATTCAAATTTGGTCTCTCAGTTCAATAGGATTTGTCATCTCTCAAAGAATCTTCAAATCATCTTAATATATGAATCCCAATTGCACGGAAGCGAGGAATAATTTGTGGGCGTTTTGAGTTTTCCTTCAAAATAATAGACTTCCATTGATTAAATTTAAGTTGAAATGTTTACATCCTTAACTAAAAACTTTTTTTATGGTACCGAGACTGAAAAACATTAAGAGCCAAATAGTTCCACCATTACATGTGTTTGTACCATACTTGACCAATCCCGAAACTATACTGAGCACCGGTCAACGTTATACCGTCAAAGACCTAGAAGAGTTTCCCTCCAACCAGGAGGCCAATCACAGCGCGACACGTGTCGACATCAGAAGCCAATCATAGCATGACACGTGTCAACATCATAAGCCAATCACAACACGATACGTGTCAATGTCAAAATGAAACTAGAAACTCTCTTCTATAAATAGAGATCGTTCTCTCACAATATTTCCTAATGTCATTTGTACTAAATCATTCACTTGTACTCACTAAAGGAGAGCTTGAATCTATGTACTTGTGTAAACCCTTCACAATTAATGAGAACTCATCTACTCCGTGGACGTAGCCAATCTGGGTGAACCACGTATACCTTGTGTTTGCTTCCCTATTCTTATCCATTTACATACTTATCCATACTAGTGACCAGAGCAATCTAACGAAGGTCACAAACTTAACACTTCCTGTTGTACCAAAGTCCTCACTGATTTTGTGCATCAACAACATGAATGCAGAGTTGGAAAATTAGCTACTGGTCTCAATTGATTGAGAGCCATTTATATGATTGTGCATCGTAATTGTTGCATACTATGGTAATGATATAATGGTATGTGTAGAAAATTTACTCATATCCTTGTATTATTAACGCCATCTAACCAGCCAAATATTTTACATACAAATGAGGCCAGCATACATCCCATCGTTAGTTAATAGACTGATCTTAGAAAACAAGCAAAAGTGATTTTAATAGCTCAAATCTATATCAGCGAAGCTTTATGAAATAACTATTACTAATTAAGTACTAACAAATAGCTTCAATTAGAATCATCATATGCATGTGCCAGCTCTTCCATTTGTTATGTTTGAAATATAGGCCACGTTTGGTGCCCTGTTCCAAAATTTTAATCCCACCACCCACCAGTTCTATTTTCCACATGTGCTAGCTCCTCCATTTGTTATGTGAAATACATGTCCAAACTCTGTACCGATCGATGAGACTAAAACTTTATCCTAGTTTTTCCAACTTTCTTAAAACTCCAACAATACCCCACAGTTTTGTATTTGATTCGTGAAGGGGTGGGGGCGATGGGGGAGAGGAGAGAATGACGCCGGCCGGGGGGGGGAGAGGGACGAAGGTAGGTTTTTTTTTTTTCCTTCTTTTTTTCTGGGTTGCAGCTGGTAGATGGGGGAGAAGAGGAGGGAGGGAGGGAGGGAGGGGAGGAGGGAGGAGAGGGTAGGGAGGGACGAAGCTTTGCTTTTTTGTTTGTTTGTTTTTTATTTTTTACTTTTCTTTATTATTTTAATATTTAAAAAATATTAAATTTTTTTTTTAATTTTTAATAATTTTTTAATAGAAAATGGGTTTCAAATCAAGTCACGTCAGCATTTAACTGATAAATTAACGGTCAAGCTAACGGAAGGTATGACATTGGCAAAAATGTGTAAAATGAGGTGTAACATTGTCAATTTTAAAAGATGAGGTATGAAAGTGTCATAACACAAATAGTTGAGATAATTTTTTGTACTTTACCCAATTTTAAATCTAAGAACTCTGTATTTCGCAATATTTAAATTGTAGAACGCGTTTAGTTCTTCGCATTAAGTATTAATGTACAGAGGCTTGGTTCCAGCTTTAATGGTAGAGCACTTTATCCATGTTTGAATCTTGTTCAATCTTCCTGCGCACTTGAATCATGTCTCATATCTCTCCATCATGGTTCTTTACAAGGGTCAACTCCGTCTTCACCTTGTCTTCTCTTTCGACCTTTTTGTACACAAAAGCACTTGCAATTACCCCATAAACACAAAAATTTAGTGTGCTCAAAACTGCCAGCACCCAATAGAAGTAATCGAGGTGAGCCCTATTGATATTGTCACCAAGCCATTTGTTTCCATTTCTTGAGGTAATTAACTCCGCAGCAGATATAATCCAATTGCTAGTGAAGCTACCAACTCCTACAACACTCATAGACGCTGCCGCTCCCATGCTTCTCATTTGCTCCGGCATTTGATCGTAGAACAATTCTTGAAGTCCAACCGTGGTGAATGCATCTGCGAGGCCAAGAATCAAGTATTGTGGGAGTAACCACCATACCCTCATGGGTATTATTGCTTTAGGTTTATCAATGAGATTGTAGTCTTTTGCAATGTTGAGCCTTTTGGCCTCTACTAGAGCCGACACAACCATAAGGAGTATGGATAGAACGAGCCCAATGCCGATTCTTTGTAGCACAGTAATACCCGAAGGGTGTCCCGTATGTTTTCTGGCTACTGGGACAAAAACCCGGTCGTAGATTGGAACGGCGATTAGGATTGCAATGCCAACGAGGCCTTGAAGTGATGCCGCAGGAACCTGGAAATGGGGACCGATCGATCGGATGGTTGTGCTACTTTGTTTGGTGAAAAAGGTGTGAAGTTGGGCTTGGATTACACCAAACATTAGGCAACTCAACCATATGGGGATGAGTCGAAGGACAAGCTTCACTTCTTCCACTTGATTAAGAGAGCATAGCCTCCATGGATTTCTAGTTTTCGTTGATGCATCTTGTTCGTCTATGATCATTGCCTTGTCCAAGCATCTGCATTATTTTTTGTTTTCATTACGCTACTTATGCTTGTTATGTGTACTTGATTAGAGTATGAATCTCGTATCAGAAAAAGTAAAGCCAAGGTACTAGCTGTCTACTTTTACTATACAACAAATGGGGAAAAGCAACCAAGGGAAAAAGAATATAATCTATGAATGCAAGTGGACAATATAGAAAGTGCAGTCGATCAGTATCGAGCTAGATGTACACACACGACAAAGGGAAGCAGCTGACCAATGCTTTTAAAGTTTGACTTTTGGACACTAGAGTTTCGGACGTCTACGCTTTCTGTTAACAATCTATGACTATATATCTATATCTTTCTATATAACCTAAAATTGTTTAGTCATTCATTAGGTCATTATATATGTATCCGTTTTGCTCAAATGAATGACAAAGATGTGATCAATTATGATCCACTCTTAATCCAACGGCAAAATTCTTTGTATTTCTTATTTACATACCCAATAAAAGATCTTCATTTGTGCTGATCTTTCATATGGATTTTATTTTGAAAAAATAAAAAACAAAAAAAAAAATGAACAGTTTTGAATGATGAGAACACATTATAAGCATTAAAGAGTAGTACTTTATGCGATATTAAGTTTGTACCTGAGTTGATTAGTACGAGCCAAAACTAGAGGCTGCGACTGACGTTGTAGCATGGCTTCACCCTTCTCATCTCCATAGTAAACTCCCTCGCAATTGAGTGTCTCAATGACATGCCATTTCCGAGCTGCTGCAACGAGTACTTGTGCCACCGTTGTAAAAGGGCTCCCTGGAGGCCTTTGCTTCCTGTACCTCTTAGTTCCCACCAAGAACGATACTAGTGACAAAACCAAAACCCCTGCCAATATTCCAAACCCTAATCCCCACCCAACATTATCCTACAAGTGTAGTAATTTCAATTAATTAGTGTACAGAACTAATTAATTTATCAACAGGAAAAATGGTAAGATTAGTAATGTTTCATCTTTTGGCAAACGATAGGACAAATATACTAGGAGTTTTTCTACCTAAGCCACGCAATTATCTGAATTCACCCCACAATTTTTGATTTATTTTGTGAAATGCAGTTTTATCCTTGAGGAAATACACCCACATCCTCATCACATGACATTTCTCCCCCTCCCAGACAACAACCATCGGCGTCCCTCACATCATCAACGGCGTCCCCTACCAACCTCAAAGCCATCCTTCTTTCTCTATCACTCTTGCAAGTTCTTTCAAAACCCAAGAGCAAGGACTTCCTTCAATTTAAAACTTGATTTGCAAGTTCTTTGAATTCAGATTCTTATTTTGATTCAATTTGTTCTTGATCTTTTAATGGTTGAAAATTTTATGGGTCCAAAATCCAAAACAGAGAGGGAGGGAGAGGGCGATTATCAGGCTGGTGAGGATCACCGGCGTCGTGGTCGGGATCTCGGAGGGTGCCGTAGGGGGAAGGGGGCTTGCTAGGTTCCTTTTTCTTTTTTTATTTACATTTTAAGGGTAAATTTGGAAATCAAACACTTTAAATTTTTTGTAGGGGTGTACTTAGATGAGTAGTGGGTCTAACTAGAAAAACTCATATATACTAATTTCATCTAATTAAATATATAGGTAAGCATTTGAACATACCGATGGGAGCACATTACTATAACAAATTTGACTAATTTTATGTATATAATAATTAGGATTAGTAATTTTTTTATTTTTTTTAAAACCTGGAGGTTAAAATTGTCATTATATATTAAGATATATAAGTTATTTAATATTAAATTTTAATGTAAAATATATATATAATATTACGTGAAATACTAATAAAAAATCTTTTTTTTTGTGTACTATTATAATCTAAATACTTTTGGGAGGTTGTGAGAATCTAAAATACTAATAAAAAAATTTACTTTTTGTGTACTATTATAATCTAAATACTTTTGGGAGGTTATGAGAATCTAAAAGGTAATTATTACGGTATTTGATGGTATTCTTCTTCGCTTAGAAATAAGAGATTTTAGATTCAAATTTCGTGAATAGCGAATTCGATATCAAATTAAGCTATCAATTGTGTGGTTTAACAGAACACCCTCTCTCCCTAATATAAAAATATCGATATATTAAAAAAAAAAAAAGTAATTATTACCTGGAGATATACAACTCCTAGTGTGGCAGAAGTGGCACCGAACACCAACCCCAAGTACCACCAGTTGAAGAAGGAGCTCTTGACCTTTATCTCTTCCGGCGTGTTCTCATCGAACTGGTCTGCTGCAAACGTTTGCACGCATGGCTTCTGCCCACCTTGAGCCACCGATAAAATGTATAGCGCCACAAAGAACATTGCTCGGCGACTTTGTGAAGGAATTACTGAGACGGAGAGAGTCAAAAGAACCATGCCCTACAATATGATATATAAGCTATGAACACAACTACACAAGGACATCTATACAATCAAACATGATTAATGTTTTCTTGTCAATTAAACTGGCTACGTTCTATATGTTTATATTATCAAACTATAAATCTGAACATTGGGAACATATATTCAGGGGAAAAACTCTTAGATGATTTACCAGGAAATAGATGGTGACAGAGAAGACGATGGTTTTGAACCGACCAAAATATGAATCTGCAAGGAAGGCTCCGACGACAGGGAAGACTGATGAAACACCAAGCCAGGTGTTAACATTCTTAGCCGCCGTGGCTAAGGGCTGGTCCAAAACATCTGTGAGGTACATGATGAGGTTACTTGCCAACCCATAGAATGCGAACTGCTGGGCCACCTCAACCACTGCAAAAAAAAAATTAATTAAGCAACAAATATACAGTATACTCATGAAAAATGAAACTCCAATAAATTTTCAGAAAACTTAATGAACTGAATATAAATATTCGTTGCAAAAAGAAATATCAAATAATTGTGGAATTAAATGAAAAATAAGGTGCTGGTAAAACAAAACTAAAAAATAAGATGAAAACAAAATTTGATTGCTTACAGATGATGAAAATAGCAGCATTCCAGCCACCCGTACTGGGTTTTCCATGTGCAGTAGAAGCAATATTCATAATTGATAGTGTTTAGAGAGCTGAAATATTATTGGACCTCCTCATCAAGAGAGAAAAGTAGTTGAAATTTCTCTGGACATTTGGTGGTTTACATAGTTTTCTCGTTGACTTACTGTCGATCGTTATAGTTTTCTCGTTGACTTACTATCGATCGTGATTCTGAACGCGTATATGTAAATACACGTGTGTATGTGTGGTGGGCAATTAGAATTTACAAAGTTATTTGGTTTGATGCTATTGGCCTTTTATGCTTATAAGAATTATTTTAGGAGGCGTAGTTTGCTAGCTGTGCACCCCAAGACAGGAGAATCCAGCGCACATTTCATTGCATGATTGCATAATTTGCATGCATAGCAACGAAAATATCTTCTCTGTGCCCGACATATAAAATGTTATAATACAAGTGGTTGATTTTATTTTTTTTTAAGAATCAAACTTCTTAAATTATGACATTTGATGTATCAAATCATATTCTTGACATATTAAAAAAAATCCCTCCATTACATAAAGATATACCCACGTAACTGTGATTCAAGTTGATGAATTTTATACGGGAAAATAAACTATTAACAAGTCAACTCTACATCCATACACAACCGACTATTATAAACGTTGTCAAAGTATTTATTGTTAATTGAAGAGAAAGTTACTACAATAAATTGTAGTGATAATAACCACAAGTCAAATGTTAGTTAGGTTGTTACTTAGTTTGCTAGGAAAGTTACCATTGTATATTTTTTACTTTTACCTCTTTTACTTTTCTAAAGTGTAAGTATAAATACCCTCATGTAACTTATCATTATTCAATCAATGAAATATCAGCATTCTTAATATGTTATCCATCGCCCAAGTCCATCAGAATCTGGCCTTCAATCAACTGTTTTCCATGAAAAATGACTTTCATGATGCTTTCTCACCAAACCAAACCATGATATTCACCTTCTGCTCTCATTAGCATCTTGCTTCATTCTTCACTTCTGGCAGCACAATTCGTCGACCTATAATGCTTAGAATCACAGTTCTTCAACAATGCAAATCGAGGCAATTATCAAAGGAATAACTATCAGAAAGGCTATAACAATCGACATCGATACAACACTCATGTCAAATTCTGTCAAATCTGTGAAGATCCTGGCCATCTTGCTATTGATTGTGTCAATCGCATGAATCCTAATTTCTAGGGGCGTATTCCACCTGCAAAACTTGCTATGTATGCTTCCTCTAATGCTTCTTCTCTTCCACCATGACTCTTAGGCTCTGGCGCAAGCTCATGACTAACAAAATTCAAAACCTTCAAAACCCTTAGCCTTAGATAGGGCCAGAGAAAGTTTACATTGGCAACGGTCAAGGTTTGCCAATTCTTCATACTGGATTTACTTTTCTTAAAACACCATCTGCAACTTTTATATTAAAGAATGTGTTACATGTTCCTCATCTCAAGCATGATCTTCTTTCTACAAATATGTTCTTGCGTGATAATTGGTGTTCTTTGACTTTAAATCCGTTTGACTTCAATGTCAAGGATCTTACTACGGGGATGATGCTTTTTAGAGCACATGTTCATTGTGGTCTTTATCCATTCTTTGCATCTTCTTCAACTGCATCACAATATTTTGCTAATATTGTAATAAAGACCCCATCTGTTATATGGCATCAAAGTTTGGGCATCCAATGTTCAAGACTTTTCGATCTCTTTTGTCAAAGTCTAGTTTGCCTATTTCTAATTCTGTTAAGCAATTGTTTTGCTCGAATTGTGTTTTAGGCAAGTGTGCTAAATTGCCATTTCAGAATTCTATATGTACTACCTTTAGAATCTTAGAACTTGTTCATGCAGATGTTTAGGGTCCAGCTCCTATATGTTCTGTCAATGGCTATAGATTTTATGTCATCTTTGTCGATGACTTTACAAAATATACATGGTTGTATTGACTGAAACATAAATCAGATGTCTTTCATATTTTTGTCCAATTTCAAGCTCTTGTTGAGAATCTTTATGGTCACAATATTGGTACACTACGATTTGATTCAATGGGTGAGTTTATTAGTTCTCAGTTCAAAAATCATCTTTCCTCTCATGGTATTCAACAGCATCTAAGATGTCCATACACACCTTAGCAAAATGGCTGTGCTGAGAGAAAACACATGCATATTGTGGGAACTGCCAGGACTCTTTTGATTGCCTCCAAGGTTCCTCATCAGTTTTGGGTGGAGGCCTTCCTCACTGCAGTCTACCTAATTAATAGATTGCCCTCAATCTCATAGAGCATCTCCATGGGAACAAATTTTTCACAAAGCTCTTGATTATACAACTTTAAGGGTGTTTGGCTACAGATGCTTTCCCTAGCTCAAACCAAATTCTACCTCGAAATTGGAACCTAAGAGTAAATTGTATGTACACAAAGGTTACAGGTGTTTAGATCATTCTACACACAGGGTTTATGTCTCTCGACATGTTCATTTTGATAAACACACTTTTCCTTTCCATGATATCACCAAGCCTCAACCATCCACTATTTCCAATACCACACCTTCACCAACTTCCTCCATCACTCTAGTATTCCCAAATCTTTATCCTTCACCCTCTCATCCTATCAACTCCACACCAATTATTAATCCCAATTCCACTGAGTCATTATCAAATTCACTACCAAATTCACCTTCAATATCAACTTCTATATCAACCTCACTACCAAATTCACCTTCAATCTCAACCTCACATATTATTTCAGCTCATATTTCTCAATCTCTACCTGTCACCTCAATTTATCCTATGCAAACAAGGTCCAAATCAGGTATTTTCAAACCAAATGCCTTCACAGCAACCAAACACCATGTGCATTCTCACTTGGACAGTGAGTTTGTTCCTTCTACATATCTTCAGGCATCAAAATATCCTCATTGGCGAGCTGCAATGCAGGATGAGTTCAATGCTTTACAAAATACTAGAACTTGGAACCTTGTTTCTCCTACATTTACACATAATTTGGTTGGTTGCAAATGGGTGTTCCAGATCAAAAGAAATCTCAATGGCTCTGTGGATGGGTACAAGGCCCGTCTTGTTGCCAAGGGCTACAACCAACAAAAGGGTATTGACTAAAGTGATACCTTCAGTCTAGTTGCCAAACTTATGACTATAAGGATCTTGCTTACTCTTGCAGTGCAATCTAATTGGTTCTTACATCAGTTAGATGTAAGCAATGCCTTTTTACATGGCAATCTGGAAGAAAATGTTTATATGGTCCAGCCTCTAGGATTTGTTGATCAAGACAATCCTCATCATGTTTGCCATCTTCAAAGTCTCATTATGGTCTCAAACAAGCTCCCCGAGCTTGGTATGAAAAGCTTCAATCAACACTATTTTTTATTGGATTTCAAGCATCTCACTCTGATCACAGTCTGTTCATTCTTCACAAACCTGTTCTTGTTTTAGTACTAGTTTATGTTGATGATATTATAGTAACAAGACATTCTTCCACTGCATGTCAAGTTGTTATTGATCAACTCAGTGCTCAATTTCCAGTCAAGGACCTAGGAGACTTGCATTACTTTCTCGGATTGGAAGTGAAAAGATAATCTTCAGGGATATTCATCAGTCAATCCAAATATATCCTGGATTTTCTCAAAATGTCAAGCATGGATGGTGCAAAGCCATGTTATACTCCACTTGGTTTTGAAAAATTAGATCTTACAGGTTCTTTGATGTCCAATCCAAAGGAATATCGCTCTATTGTTGGAGCATTATAATACTTAACTACTAGATTTGTCTTATGCAATTAATTTGGCATGTCAATTTTTGCATTCTCCTCGAGAACTTCATTTTCAGGCAGTAAAACGCATACTCAGATATCTCAATTGCACACTTAACCATGGTCTCTGGTTTCCAAAAACCACAGCTCCTTTTACACTTAAAGCCTTTTCGAATACTTATTGGGCTGGTTGTTCTTAGGATAGACGATATGCGGGTGGTTTCTGTATCTTTCTTGGTCCTTGTCTAGTTAGTTGGAGTGCCAAGAAATAGCATACCATTGCTCGAAGCTCTACTGAAGCTGAATATAGATCCCTGGCTCACACTGCTACTGAAATAACTTGGATTTGCCAACTTTTCACTGATATAGGCTTTAAGTTGCTTTCTCTACCTTAGATTTGGTGTGATAATGTTTCTGCTATTGCCTTAGCCTCTAATCTAGTGTTTCATGCTAGAACAAAACACGTCGAAATTGATTATCATTATATCTGGGAATTGGTTCTAGCTAAACTTGTCAAAGTCCAGTTTGTATGCAATCAGGATTGATTGGCAGATATCTATACAAAGTCTTTTCCCATACAACGTTTTCTTCTTCTCAGATCCAAGCTTTCACTTCAACCTTCTCCGTTTAGCTGAGGAGGTGTGAAGAAAGTTACTACAGTAAATTGTAGTGATAATAACCACAAGTCAAATGTTAGTTAGGTTGTTACTCAGTTTGTTAGGAAAGTTACCACTGTATAGTTTGTTAATGCACAAAACCGGAGGTCTTGGAACAACGTAAATTCGACCTTGAATTTGCATGTAATGTAAATAACACAAGATGTAGGTTCACCCCAAGATTTGCGCTACGTCCACACTGAATATGTATTTATCTGAGGGAGAGAGCGCTCTGAGAGTGAGAGCTTTGAGAAGGGGTGAGAGGGCTTAGGAATTGGCCTCAGAAATGGCCTTTTATAATTGTGAGGGTAAGGGGTCATTTTATAGAATAAGGACTCATCACTTATTACATATTTGCCCCTTCCTTTATCATATAATTACATTTAAGTCCCCTAAGTATTTATACGAGGTCTAAATACGAGGTCCTAAATATGGTATAAACAGTATTCCCCCAAGTCTTCAGTCAAGAAAGTCTTTTGGCTGGAGACTTGAAATTCAGTCCATGTGTGGGCCGAAGTAACTAGATACTGTCTTGAACTGATGCTCGATATAAGGTAGTGCTCAATTTGAAATAATGCTCAACTATAAGTAGCATACGCTGCGAGGCTGCTCGACTTGTGGCTTATGTTGCCTTGGTTGGCTCGGCTTGCGGCGTTTGAAGGTGAGGGAGTCCCTTTTATAGAATAAGGGCTCGCTCCTCAATACATGAATGATGGGCTAAAATTGATGCTCTCTAATGATGGTGAGAGAGTCTCTTTTATAGAATAATGGCTCGTTCCTCAATACATAAAT